ACACATTTGGCTTCATCATCTGTGGCAACTGGACCCCAGTAAAAGGATCACCAGGGAATCTGCCACTAACTATAGAATCAATCTCCCTACACTCAACTGCCTCTTTTTCTTCATTCTGTAAAACAACCATGACCCACTTGCCTCAGAGAATGGGAGTCAGGCATAGCTCAGTTTAGATAAGCGCTTAACAAATCTTCATAGAGAAATAAACTGGGAAAGAAAAGGGGCATTGTGCGACTGTGAAAACCTAGATGAGAGCACTATTAAAAGCATAATATCTTAGTCACTTTCCTGTTGCTGAGAAAAAAATACATGACACCCACAATTTAAGAAGTTTATTTTGGCTCACAGTTTCAGTCCATGGTCAATTGGCTCCAATAAGAAACAGGATGGCAGAGGGGTAGGTTGGAGGAAAAAGTGCTCAAACTATGACAAGCAAGAAGCATAAAGTGGAGGGAAGAAGTAGGGAGGGAGATACACCCTCTCGGGTCACCTCCAGGGACCTGCCTCTTTAGATCAGGCCTCACCTCCTAAAGCATGTTTAGCTACTAAACTCAACGTGGATGATGAGTCCACTGATAATTATAGAGCCTCCATGATCCAGTCACCTTCCAAAAACAGAAGGCTTTGGAGAGCACATTTTAGATCTAAATCATAACATAAAGTATGGTTTGTATAACAGGGACACTGACCAGTCAGAATGAAGAGACCCTAGGATTGGAGCAGCTTTCTGAATGGCCCCTACTGAGATAGGTGCTAACTCTTTAATTGTTGGAACTGAAGGGAGTGGGGAGTGCAAGGATAGTTAGGAGCACTAGGAGTATTTTAGAGCAACAACTGTTTACCCATCACCAAATAAGGGAATGTAGATTTGAACAAGTGGGATGGTGGTAAAGATTTTCCTTAGGGAAATGTCAGTCCTGATCCTGAGGCAGATGGAGTCAGTCCTGGATATCATATAGAATTCACTACTTGAAACCTAAAGGGCCCTGGCTGCAAGACATGGTAAAGACAATGAATGAATTCTCCTTTTCCTCCCATGCAAAGAAAGAGTCAAACACTGGCTGCACTGTTGAATACAGGACCAAGCCTGTGCCCGTAGTGTCAACTCTTTGTCTCACTGCCATGCATCCACAATGCCATGCCCACTCCTGAAATCAGGACTTGTACTTGAAGAACATTAACCTGTTTCAATGCCAGTGAGCTTAGAATATGACCTTAAACAGGAAGGAACCCTGGAAATCAGCTAAATCCACTGATCTCTTTTGACCTATAGGGAATTTGAGGCCTAGAAAGGAATTGTAGTAGGTCATCACTAACCTATGTGATACATACATCTAAAGTGTGCTAGAGTAGGATGAGCAGCAACCTGAAACATCTGCCTTATTTCCTGTTATTCCCTGCTCCCAACCTGAAACATCTGCCTTATTTCCTGTTATTCCAAGTCTTCATTATATTTGAGAGAAAACACCAGAATATCCTCAGGGTCAGCCTTCCACATGGGTAAACATGGTGTGATCAAATGTTTCACCTCAATTGCCTATCACTGTACCTGAAATTTTACCATTGATGACTCATTCCTTTGGATACTGAGGGCTTCTCCTCTTTCAGCAGATATAGATGGAGTATTTATTCATGATCATTGGGAGAAAGGCTTTATACATTAGACCCAGGCTATACAGTTGTGGGAGAGCAGTGGCAGCTGGTTCAGGGAAGAAGACACAGGCCAGGAAAGGATAGAAAGTCAGAATAAGAATAAGAATCAAAATCCAGGGTTCATCCTGATGAGACAAAGAAAGAATATTTGCTATCCCCACACCCAAAACATCTGTCAAGACCTGTCTTGGGCACTCAAGAATCATTTTCCCTTGTAGACTACGCTGTGACCCAGGAAGCCTGAATCACTGCCCTGTGGCTCGTGCTGGAGGAAGGGCAGGAGAGTGAAGGATAACATCAGGCTATCTAGAGTGGCCACGAGGGCATTTTATTAAGAGGAGCAGCCTGGGTAAGATGGATGTGACAAGGGAATCTATGAAGACATTGAGAGGAGCCTCGAGCACAAGAGGAATGGACTCGGAGGCTGCCAAGGAAGGTTGGGTGTGCAATCTGTCAAGGACCTGCTGGCTGCAGGTGCCATGGCCCAAAGCCGGATGTTGTGTGTGGTTCCCTCGACTTCCTTTCTAGTTCTTCTCCATAGCTGTTCAGGGCAAGTTTGGACTCAGCTGTGGATCCCAGGTTCCTGGGCCTTCTCTATGCCTCTCTCAGTCCTAGTGTTTTTCTATCCAAAGTGCTTAAGGGTAAGAATCTCACAGGAAGAGAGAGGGAAAGTGAGGGGTATAGTGGGTTTGTTCAGGAAACATTTTAGCTAGCAAGACCTGGTGCTTTCTTAGACTGTGTGTTTACATGGACTTCCAGGATAGAGGGGAGTACAGCTGGGAATTTGGGAACTTTTCTTGAAGCTGTGTTTCCTTGGCATTCTAGTCATCAGTCCTCCATATCTTTGGGTTCATATTCTTGGATTCAACCAACTATAGATGAAAATAATACAACGAAAATTGTGTTTGTGCTCAACATGTACAAACTTTATTTCTTGTTATTAGACCCTGAATAATATAGCATAACTACTATTTACATAGCTTTTACATTGCATTAAGTATTTTAAATAATTCAGAGATGATTTAAGGTATACAAGAAGATATGCATAGCTTATATACAAATAGTGTAAAATTTTATGTAAGGGACTTGAGAATCCTTGTATTTTCATTTCCACGGGAGTTCCTGAAGCCTATGTCCTGCCGATGCTGAATGATGCATTATACTTTAGAGTGTAGGTATATTTGAGATGGCGCACAAGGGTACGCTGAACAAGCTAAAGACCACCCCCCTAAACTTACTAGTTCTGTTGTAGACCTTGACTACTTGGGGAAAACACAGAAACACCGGTTTCAACAAAAATAAAGCCTCCTCCCTCATTGCTATCCTCTGCTGTCTGACAGGAGCCCTGTGCTCATAAAGTCTGGGACCACAAGTGATTTCTATCCATATATCTGTCATCCTGGGGTTGGATGGGTTCAGGTGGGAGAAGGAGGCTGCTGGCACCAGGAATTAGATACTCAGAGCAAAGACTGTCTCACCGGTTCCACTCAAGTCTCCAAAACAATCTCCTCAGTTCAGATCAGGTCATCACTAACCTATGTGATAGAAATGCTGAGGGAAAACTGTATTTCGCAGAGCAGGGGGCTCCTGCCCAGGTTCAGGCTCAGTGATTCAGGGAAGATGAAATTCACTGCAATGAATTTGGAAGAGTCGGCCAGAATTTCTTTTAAACTTTAGTTTCCAGCATCCCCCTCCTACCTTGATAACAAACTAATCTCTGATATTTATCTAGTGGTTTCATACTTTTCAAAGCTTCTTCGCATCCATTATCTCCATCAAGCCTTACAAACACTCTCCATAAGGTAGGACAGAAGCTGTTATTAACCCTATTTGACCAACAAGAAAACTGAGGTCCAGAAAGGATACAGGACTCATTCAGAGTCACACAGTTATTTAGTCAAAGAACCAGAACTTCAAACACGTTTCATAACTTTCAACCCTGTGATGTTTCCACCTCCCATGTGGACTCCCCTACAGAACTGTGAAGTGCCCTACTCCTTAACACTTCACCCAGCTACCTGAATGACTGAATGGATAAGCAAGGGCAAGGAAGGAAGGAATATAAGTTCAATAATGGCTCTTTTTTTTTTTTTTTTGTCTTTTTCATTTTTATCGGTACCAGGGATCGAACTCACGACTGCCTGCTTACAAAGCAGGCGCTCATGCCGCTGAGCTAAATCCCCAGCCCCAATAATGGCTCTTTTTTAAATGATCAAAATAAAATAGGACAGACTGGCTGTGCTGTTTCATCATTTTGACCAGGAAGGAGGGAATATGAGAGCTTTTCCATTTCACAGTTCTCATTTCCAAAGCATGAAGATTAGGACAACCCTGAAATGAAAGCCATGGGGCTTAATCTCCCAATCTGCCTTCCACTCATCCTTTATAGAAGCATGGGTGCCTCTATGGGTCCTCACTCCCCTACCAAGAAGGAATCAAAATCAACATGATGAGAAGACAAGATTTTCTCCACCTTATTCCTTCAAGCTCTTTCTCTCTCTCCAGGTCTCCCACCGTGGCTCTCTGAGGTTCTGCTATGGAAGAGGTGTGTGAGAACACTGGTTGCCACTCCATTAGATCTTTAACAGTCTCCTCCCCATAACATTCTAGTATAACCCAGACCTTACAGGCTTGAAACTGGTCTCCTGCAAAGCCACCTGGCCTCAAACTTACCCCCTTCTCCTTTTTCTGTCTCCCATAGGGCCTGATACATAGTAGGTACCTAATAAATGTTAAAGGATTGAACTGTCCCTGTTAAGAGCTAGGCACTTTGATTGGGTTCCTGCCTGCCAAAGCCTCAGCCCTCCCTCAACAACAGATAAATTGACCTGGCATTGCTACTGGTCGGTAGTCCATTCAGAAAAATAAGAAAATAGGAGGTGGAGACACAGGTCTTCAAAAGCTGCTTTGCAGTAAGTACCCAGTAGCTTTGGAAGCAGACAGTTTCAATTTTGAGATCCCTTAGGTTTCCAATCTTGGACTCACCACTTTGAAGCTCTTGTGTTGAGAGTATTTGCTTTGCTCTTCTGAGCCTCCGTTTTGTTTTCTGTATAGTGGAAAGAAAGCTGGGAAGAGAAAATGGATGCAAAGCAAGGTGCCCAGTGCTTATCAAGCTAAGGACAGCTGGATTATCCGCAAACTGGTCCCCAGTGGGAAGGGTCCTCCAGGGGGCACTGACTGCCTGTGCACCGGTTGCGGATTGCGGGCTGTGAGTCTGCACAGGTCGTGTTTACTGGCTCCCTCAGCCGCGGCTCTGGGGCCCAGCCAGTCGCCTTCTTCTTTAAGATTCTGGTCACAACAAGGGCTGGATTTCTAAGGCAGGCGTGATGCATCTCTTCTTACAGACGCCGCTGCCGTTACCGTCAGCGCTGGGCACAACCAGCACAGAGAGAGAGGGACTGCAAAAGGGCTTTCGGGCCGAGTCAGCTGCCCAGCCTTTGCCCTAAGAGGACCCGACAGTAAGTACCGAGTTCAGAGCTGGCCGGTTGGGGCGCGCCTGGGAAAAGGCCAGAAAGTTGGGGTCTGTAGCTGCGTGCTGGGGTCCTCGCCTGTCCCCCGGAATGACCTGGAGGAGGCCCTGGCAAGGGGTCCCTCTTCTGGGCTGGGCACTGTCTGGGGCATGCAGCAGGTGCACCGAGTTAACGAGTCAGTTGGGAACCATCCCTCTCCATCCCCAACCCCAGCTCCAACGATTTGTTCTGGTCGCCAGGCAGCTTCCTGGTGCCTTTGAGGCGCCTCTGAAGAGGAAATTGCAAGGCAAGATGCGCGGGGCTGAGCTTTTGATCGTCTGTGGAAAAGTGGCCCTGTGAAATAAAAGTTTTCTGGGAGCAGGGGAAGGGTGGAGAGCGAGGAGGATATGAAGGCTAAGGAGAAGTTGGGGGCTGGCCTTCACAGCGCTCAGAAAGCCTCGGCATCAGCAGCCCCTGCCCACCCCCCGCCTAAAGTTCTACCCCCAGAGGGGAGCCGCTCCTGGAAATGGATTTCTAGCGACCCGCATCCCAACACTTCAGCTTCCCCACGCACCTTGGCTCGTGCGCCTCTGGGACCTTTGGTTGCACAAGACCAGACAAACTGGCAGGGGCGGTGAGGGCCTCTATGTTCTTGAAGCTCCGTGGGCCTGAGAAACGTGACCGCCCTACCAGGGGTGCGTTAAATGTAGAAACAATGGTAAGTGAGAATATGCAGGAGTATACCGGTCACTTTGTTTTCTTGCCTTTGTAAAAATAAGGATAGATGGACGGTCTGAGATAACTAAGGCCAGTGTATCCTAAATCAGTCCTTTCTCAGAAAACGCCCAGCTCTCCATTCAGTTCTTCCACCTGAGCTCAGCCATTACCTGGGCTCAAATCTACCTGATAGTTAACAAGAATCATGTACAAAAGTAAGAACGCCAGCTGACATTCACTCTATGTTTTCTGTGTGCTGGCTACAGTTCCTTATGTGTATTATTTTACCTAATTTTCACCACAATTTGAGATGGATATGATATTACTCCTGTTTTACAGATGAGGAAACATGAGGCACATAGGTCCTCAGACTTCAAGTCACACATCCAGCTAGAGGAAGAGCTAGGACTTCTGTTCATTTTACTTCAGGCCCCATTGTTAACTACAGGAAATATGGTGAAAAGTGTATATAACACCGCTTGATTTCCCTAGGACCAACTTACTTATTCTATATATTTGAAGTTAAGACTAAGGCCTGAAGTGTTTCAAATCCATCTTCAGATCACCATTATATCCTGTGGAGAAAGGCAAACTGAGTAGACTATAACAGGAGATCCTGTTAGTAGATGCCTAATAATAATGATGATGATAAATTACTCCTACCTACTATTGATTGAGTACTTACTTACCCTAGCACTTTTTATATATTTAATCTTCATGTAGGTGCTTTTGAAGTAGGTACTCTCATGCGCCCCATTTTATAGATGAGGGATCTGGGTATAAGAGGTTATGTAACTTGCCACAGATTTGGGATTTCAGCCCAGAACCGCTAACTCCAAAGCCCAGTTTGGGACAACCCTTTTGCAGATTTGTGCACGAAGCAGAGATTTATCTTTCTAGCCCCCACCCCAGGGCACTTGCTGGGAGCTCTGTATTAGTTTCTCCATTCATTCCCCAGGCCCCTTTCACACCAAGGAAGAATTGTACAGATTGGTAAAGGAATTTCTGCAAGAGATCGAGGGCTTTGAATATATTCAGGTTTTGTTGTATTAAGTGTCATGCATGTCACATCAATAAGTTGTTCAGCTTTATAAGTTTTTATTAATTAAACAAGTATCTGGTCTGCTGACTTGGAGTTGTCAATCCAATATTATAGCTCTATTTGAATGCCTCTATTAGGAGTTATTTTCTAAAAAGTTTTTAGAACCATATTTACAAAACTGGGCAGAGCCATCTTCCTACTTCCTACTGAGGGAGAAGGCTTGTTTCTCAGCCAGGATTTTAGTAGCAGAAATTGCAGCCCATACATGAGTTGTATTCACATCTCCCAGCATGACCTCTGGTGAGCTGAAACCTGAATATCACAGAGTCCCTTAGGGCTGTCCCAGTGTCACATCTAGCCCTGCAGTTGGATTGTTTTTAACTTCCTACCATTGTCCCAGCCATTCACAGAGCTGGCTTCACAGGGACCCTCTTCAGTGTAGGCAAAATGGGTTATGTGAGTTTCATGGCTTTGACTTCCATTGCTAAGGATGGTTCTCAGTGTATTTACTGGTGATCCATCTTCCTTGCTCTTCCCATGAGAGAGGTGCTGTCCATGTGTAGCTTTGTAGTGGTACATGAGACATGTGGCTGATAACCCCAGTACTGGGCTGTGTCCTTGTTGTCTCTATGAGCTCTTTGGAGTTCACTGTGTCATTTCACAAGGCCACAAAAAAAGTCAGTGGGAAACTGAGCAAGAGATGGTGCTCAAATTAAATTTTCCCTGAATTTCTTTTTAATTGCAATGACCTAAATACCTGGACATTTCTTTCCCTCTTTATTGAATCTCCATAACTATTCATTGTCATATTTGACACTCCTTTCCTAGCTCATCCTTCTCATCTTCTCCACTTAGGTGGAGTGGAAGCAATCTGCTGGGAATCAGAATGGCCGGTGCATATGCTCCTGTGTGCCCCCATACCTGTGCTGTTCCCTATGGAGTCAAGTGATATGTGGGGTTTTTTATTTTTCATTTTGTCTATTTCTATTTATTTCTCTTCTAGGAGTATCCAGTCTTTATTTTGTTTTATTTTATTTTTAAATTTTGAGTCAGGATCTTGCTAAGTTGCCTTGGTTAGTCAGGAACTTTCCATCGTCCAGCTTTAGCATTCCAAGTAGCTGGGGTTATAGGCCTGTGCCATCATGCTTGGTAGCACATGGTTTTATATTGTTTGTTTACATACTTTACCTGAGGGAAGACACAGGACACAAAATCGGTGCTCGATAGATTTTGTTGCATATATGAGTGAAAGAGCGAATTAATGCTATATAAACCTGGTGGAGGAAGCCTCTGACTCACAGCTGGGAACTCTGCTGTCATCATCATTTAAAAAGGGGAGTAGGGGCAGAGTTTGCCTTATTCTGCAACAACCCCAGCCCTTTGGATGTTTTCACTGAGAAAAAATACACTGTAATGCCCAAACATGAATTATTGGGGAAGGACTTTTCTGATTAGTAGAATATCCCAGAATAACTATGTTTTTCAGCCAAAAAGTCATTTTTCTTTACCCTTTTTGATTCTTCCATTCTTTCTACAATGCCTAGGTCTGTTTTTGTTCCTTAGTAAGTCAAGTCAATGTACTACAGTACATTACCAAATTTGAGTAGGGAGCCTGTGGGTTCATAGAATTCCCTAGGATTCTATTTGCCCCTGCCTTGGTTGTAGAGTGTCATACAATCTCCTATCAAAATTCCCAACTCCTGCCTGTCCTTAATGCATCCAAATATAAGTCTACAGGCCCTTTGAGATCTGTAATTCACTGCTACCTCCTCTAAGAAACAGCTGGGGTTCCCAGCTAATAACATAGGCAGGTAAAGATACATGGGTGCTGACTCATGCCCTCTGAGTTAGTAACTCAGCAGGCCTTCATCCTTAGGTGGGCCTTCATCTGCCCTTTTCTGTCCCCAAGTAAGACATAATTCCTCCCTCTTAACAGAAAGGTACAATTGGGCTGAATAAAAGATGTCTTGTTCTCCTGAGGCAGCGTTTGACATCTCCTGGACACTTCCAGATGGGGTGACATAAGTTTACCAGGCCTGTGTTCTTCTTTGTCTAATGGCTTCTTGGCCTACTGTCTGTATGCCTCTGAGCTTACCAACTGGGCAGGTTGGAGATGTTGAAGGGGAGGAGCAGAGCTGCTCCCTCACGGGGGGTCACACTGGCAACTGCTGGGCACAGGGCCTGGGCCTTTGATACTACCTACATCATTTTGGGGACCCAGGCAAAGTAGCAGGTTAAAATGTGCCTTTTTCTGTCCAGCTTTGTCTATTCTGGCTTGCTTATCTCCTTTCAAGCTCCCCAAAAGAGTATTAAAATGAGAACTTTGTGCCCCAACAAAGCCAGATGGGAGATAGAGCAAAGAAAAGGCCTGCTCACTGTTTACCCTGATAACCTATAGCTTCTTGTTTCCCAGCTTGCCTCTGCCCCTCTCAGGCTGTCATCCTTACGCTTTCTGCCACATACTCCCTGTTCCCTTCAGCCTCTAGAACCATACTCTCTTCTTCCCTTCTCTACCTACCCGTTGGGTCTGACCTTTCCTCCAGAACCCAGATATTGTCCTCATCTAGAAAACCTCCCTGTGCAGCTTCTAGAAATTGGTAAAAACTAAACAAGGGGCAAATACATAACCTCCAAGGTCCTGCCAACTCTGAGATTATCCAGAAGTTGACCAAAGGGTGGTAGCATCCAAGGCTGGTAGCCAGTCCATCAATATCTAAGTGTCACAGAAAAAAGAAGGAGATGGCCCAGCCACCTAGCTAAATAGGCCCTCTTTTGGCTTCAGAAGGCTTTGCCCAGAACCCCTTGCAACCAGCATCTGCCAAGCAGTCGCCAGAGGGGTGCTATTTGACCCCAGGTCTTTGGCTGCTGGCGGCAGTCACTTGTTGGGAAATTCCCAGAAGCTCCAGTACACACCTGCTCCCACTGTCTGCCCTCCAAGCTTTGTTTACAGTTCAGCCCTTGGCAGACTAAAGGCTGGAATCCAAGAGAACAGAGAGCTGGGTGGACAGGGACCCTTTTCTGGCTTGGCATTCTGTGTCAGAGCTCTGCAGCCCAACTTGGCCTTGAAGAGATGTGTGCACTGAGGGGAAAAATTCAGGCCTGTGGATTCTTTCCCTGCCAACTCCACTTTTCCCATATGATCATGTCCTCCTACCTTCTGGACCTCTCTCCCCTTCTTATTTTGTTCCTTTCAATTTCCTCTTTCACAACAAAAGCCTAGCTTCTGGTGACTAGAAAACTAAATTCCTGA